ACTTTATTTTGCTCTACCCTGATATGGGAAGCAAACAGGACTTTGCTGTTACTTCAGAGGTGACTGAGGACTTGGGTTCCTCATAGCTAACAAAATTAACTAAAATGTTGAATGGATATCCTGACTGGTAACTCCTTTCCCCAGGTACAGTGAGAGAAAGAAGAGAAAGATAAACTCTTTCTGCTGACATGAGGAAACAGAACTCTCTCAGGGCTGACCAGAATAGGAGCTAAAAACTTGTCCTGCCTCGTCTTCCAAGTTAAAGGTGTTTTCCAAGTAGTATTTTCTAGTAAATGTAACACTGTGGAAAGACTAAACTGAACTAGATTTTTATGTCACAGGACTCATATTCTCATCTCTTGAGTATTGTTAATGTCCTTAGGTGGTTTTGTTAATTTACTGGTGTCAGATCTCCCTTAAAATGAGAGCACAAAGGCTAGTGAGTTTTTTTGCTTGACTGCAGGAAATATGGACCATAATGACTGATTAAAACTTATGGTTTCCAGTGGAAAATAAAGATGTGAATGGAGGAAAGAACTGTATTTGCATCTGTAATTTTCTGGTTATTTCAGATGTGAATTTGGTGCCTTTTTTTTCAGAATTTGTTAATTATTTTAAATGGACATTTCATATGTCAATAACCATAAAGTAATTTGGGGTGGAACAGACATATAAAGCTCATCCCATCCCACCCCGTGCCATGGGCAGGGACACCTTCCACCAACCCAGGTTGCTCCAAGCCCCATCCAGCCTGGCCTGGAGCACTTCCAGGGATGGAGCAGCCCCAGCTTGTCTGGGCAGCCTGTACCAGTGCATCACCAGCCTCACAGGGAAGATTTTCTTTCCCAATATCGCATCTCACCCTGCCCTCTGGCAGTGGGAAGCCATGCCCTGTGTCCTGTCCCTCCATGTCCTTGTCTCAAGTCCCTCTGCAGCTCTCTTGGAGCCCCTGTAGGCACTGCAAGGGGCCATGAGGTCTCTTCGGAGCCTTCTCTTCTCCAGGCTGAACACTGCCAGCTCTCCCAGCCTGGCTCCAGAGCAGAGGTGCTCTAGTCCTGGGGGCATCTCTGTGGCTTCCTGTGGACTCCCAACAGCTTCACATCTTCCTGTGCCCCCAGACCACATGTGGGCACACAGAAGGGGTTTGGGTGGGACCTTTCAGAAATGATGGTTAAGTACATGCTCCAGGCACAGAATTAGTCATGGTTAAAGGGTTTAACATAGAATATCCAAGTGAAGTATTTGGATTGTCCAGCCCTGGCACAGGCTGCTCAGGGCAGTGCTGTAGTCACCACTCCCAGAGGTGTTCAAAAAACATGTGCATGTAGCACTTGGGGACATGATTAGCGGTGGCCTTGGCAGTGCTGGGAGAGCAGTTGCACTCGATGGTCTTGGAGAAATTTTCCTCCTAAACCATTCTGTGATTCCATGGAGAAATGAGGATTTTCTCCACTTGGCGGTGCTGCTCACTCAGAGTTGCATCACTATCACCATCACACACCCTTCTACTAGCAGCTCTGAAGATTGGTGCTAACTTCTGAGCGGAATTTTACCTGGCAGTTAGTACCTTCTTTCCTCATTTGCTCTTAAGACATCAGTGAGCAAACAGTTGTGACAAATTATTGGCTAATCAATCTTTTTTTTGTTGCTGTTTGGTGCTGTTCATGGCTTTCTTAAATACTTCTCTAACGATGAAAGCAAGTTGTGTGGGTTTTTTCTTCTTCATCTGTCTTACCCTGTTTAAAACTAAGAGTAAACATAAGGATTAATCCCATTGAAAAATTTGAATTGCAAGTGCTGGGAAAGGGAAAGTCTCTTAAATTTCTGTTTAATGTCTTACCAGTGTTTACCAGTGTCCTCCTGGGAATAAAACATTTCAGGGCCTCTTCACACTGAGATATTCAGGAAAAAGGACAGAAACCAGCTTTAAAAATGGGTTAGTTGAACTACATCTAACAACTCAGTTTGGAAGTTAATTTGAATGCACACATACAGTTGGCATGGATCACCTCACTGTGTAGGCAAATGTGGTGGTTTTACAGCTGTAAGAGTTGCATTGGATTGAATTTCTTCGGATTTGCAAAGTCACCACCTGTCGAACTAGTTACAGGAGTGTAACAGAGTATGGACATACTTAAAATGTTGTTAGGTTTGAAAAAAGGTGTTGAACAGTTTTTGGTGACTGAGGGAAAGTTGATGTTAATTGAGAGATTTCAGAGGGAGAAGTGAAGAAATATGATTGAAAAGGAAGGCAGCACAACCTCTGGTAGAATCCTAGAATCAGAATCATTTAGGTTGGAAAAGTCCTCTAAGATCATTGAGTCCAAACGTTCCCCCAGCCCTGCCAAGGCCACCACTGACCATGTCCCCAAGTGCTACATCCACGTGGCTTTTAAATCCATCCAGGGATGTGACTCTACCACTGCCTGTGCCAGGGATGGACAGCCCGTTCCAGGAAGATTTTTTTTTCCCCCCTAATATCCAGTCTAAACCCCTCCTGGCACAGTTTGAGGCTGTTCCCTTTCATCCTGTCCCTTGTTCGCTGGGAGCAGAGCCTGACCCCACCTGGTTGCACCTCCTTTCAGGGAGTTGTAGAGAGCCAGTAGGTCCTCCTGAGCCTCCATTTCTCCAGTCTGAGCCTCTCCAGCTTCCTCAGTCACTCTACTGCTCCAGCCACTTCCCCAGCTCCGTTCCCTTCCCTGGACATGCTCCAGCCCCTCAGTGTCTTCCTTTCAGGAGGGGCCCCAAACTGCCCCCAGGACTGGAGGTGCCTCAGCAGTTCCAGCACTGGGGACAGGCACTGCCCTGGGGCTGTGGCCGTGGTATTCCTGATAAAAGCTTATTAAATCGCTTCTTTTTCTTGTTTTGTTTTGTTCGCTGTCAGCTACAGACAAAAAATAAATAGCCAAGGTGTTCCCTGTGTTTGTAGAACTTAGACTTTGCTGCCAGCTGGATAACTCTCTAGTTCATTCCCTTCACAAACCACTGGAAAACTGTGTCCTTAGAAAATATTTACATTACGGGTGAGGGAAGATGCCAAAGCATTTTAATTGTCCCAGTTTCTTAGCTGGATGTTTGGGTGAAGTGAACCACTTTGCTAAGGGAACCAGAGGTTTTGTGAGGCAGGAGGAACCCCAATTTGCTTGTGGGTTTCAAATCACAGACCACAGTGGTGCTTCACCACCTTCTGTCGGCAGCACAGGCAGGGCTTGGAGTAGATGCTGCTCTGAAGGCTTCCTGTTGGAAATCATCATAGAATTATGGAATGGCTTGGGTTGGAAGGGACCTTACCCATTCCAAGCCTCCTGCCATGGGTAGGGACACCTTCCACTAGATCAGGTTGCTCTCAGCCCCATCCAGCCTGGCCTGGAACACTTCCAGGGATGAGACAGCCACAACCTCTAAGGTTAATCAGTTGTTTCCTGTAGAGAAGTGGTCCAAGTAAGGGCTGTGTTCATTCCTTTCACAGCACTCAGTCATTTAATCTGCTGTAAAATCCGTTTTAGGGACTGTTTGGGGCTCTATGGAATTATTTATCAGACAATTTTGTGGAGCTGCCACATAGCTTCTCTTTGGAGCTTCAAAGCTTTTGAGTATGTTAAGAAAAGCTCTGACCATGTATTCTGGGGTAACGGGTTCAAATTGTAGGAGGGGATATTTAGGCTAGATATTAGGAAAAAGTTTTTTCCTGTGAGAGTGGTGAGACACTGGCACAGATTGCCCAGGGAGGCTGTGGCTGCTCCAACTCTGGCAGTGTTCAAAGCCAGGTTGGATAAAGTCTTGAGCAACCTGGTCTGGTGGGAAGTGTCCCTGCCCATGGCAGGGGGTTGGGGCTAGGTGATCCCTAAGGTTCATTCCAACCCCTAAAATTCTATGACTCTATGAGTCTGACAGCATTACTTCTTTAAAATGAAACCAAACTGGGCAAAAAATGAGTCAAACCTCCCTGTAATATTCAGTCCCTCTGGCCGAGATCCTAAGACTTGTGTTTTTGGGAATGATGACTTCCGGATTGCACTAAAAACACCTCAGTGGATTTGGCTTCTCACTGCCTTTGTGTGGCCTTGGGTTAACCGGTCAGTTTTGATCCATCATTTCCCATGGTGTTTAATGAAGTTTGTAATCTTCCTGTCTCCCATTCTTTGTTTGTCCTGTTTATTTAGGTTGTCTTCCTGCATATGTTTAGGTGCACACTTAAAAATGAGTGGTTAACTGGGATGGCTTTTCTTCCTTGATTTCAAGGAAGCTATTCCTGATGGGAGAGGCAATTGTGTGCCTGTGGGACTGTAGTTTCTTTAGGAATCTGCACAGGACAAAGGAGCTTTGATTCTCCTTTGGATCTCAGCTCCTGCAGTAATTTCTGTTTCCCAAGAAACCATTTTGTTGCAAATTCAAAGCTGAAATCCCACCAAGTTGTGTTCAGTCAGTTTCTCTGATCACTTAGGTTTGAACTTTCATTTGGCTTTTGTTATGAAGGCAAATATTAAAACTTCTATGTTCTGGTTTCAAGGAAGTCTAATGGATATTATCCAGAATGGGGAAAGCAGCACCATCATCCCCTCCCCTGTAGACTTCATGTTGAAGCCAAATGAAAAAAAAATTGGAATAAATACGGAATTTAGGCCTGTACACCTAAATGGTAATCCTTAAAGTCTTCTCTGAATTGCAGCCCATCCTTAGGAAAGACAGCTTCCATAGCAGTTTTACTTTGTCATTCTTCACATTAATATTGAATATTTCCCCCAGATAATAATTTCATAATTAATATTGATTATTTTGAAATTTTCCAATAAAATTCAGTATTTTCACTGAATATTTTCAGCCTTTTTTTGTTGTTACTGGGTTTTTTGCTTAGTAAAGTTAAACCCCCAAAATGTGTTCAGTCTGGCATAAATTCTGTATTTTTTGGTCCATGAAGAGCTTTAGTTGAACTGATTCTGTACCAGGGACACTGTGGAAATGTCAGTAGAGCCTGTTTGAATTTTCCCTTCCTGCTCCAGCCCGTAGAAGGCAGAAGTGGTCTGTGGATCCTCAAAATACTGCTTGGAGCAAAGATGAATCTAAATTTGGCCAGAAGATGCTGGAAAAGATGGGCTGGTCCAAAGGAAAGGTAAGATCTAAGGGAGAGTTGTGTAGCTGAAGAGTCTAAAACTGCCAGGGGACTCCATTTATTCTCCTAAGTACACAGGGAATCTGAGCAATGTTTGATTTCTACATGTTGTTACAAAGGTACTTGCTTGTGACTCTCCTGCTTTGCAGTTTTTTGTCCCTTCTTTGTCAAGGTATTGTCCCCAAGTAAGAGCAGGAGTTGGTCCATTAAATCAGGTGATGGTTAAAGGCTTGAAGTTGCCTTTAAACCCTCAGTTTACTCCATGCTTAACTCCCTCCTTAAACCCAAGTTCTTTCCCTGCTTTTGGTACTGTGTAAAGCAACTCCAGGACCTGCTTTAAATAATTTCACCTGTTTTTAAAGGTTACTAGTGATCTGTTCCTTGAACCCCCAAAATGCAGCATTCTGGGAGCTGTATCCCTTCCCAGCTCCAGCCAGTACCTGTGGGGTGAGTGACTGGTTTCTGGTACTAGGAATAACCTCTAGGTCAGTGCAGAGAGCTGCAAACTGCTCAGCCGCCCTTTAAAAACAGTTTAACCTCCTCAGAGGTGCCTCAGCAAAGATGAGGTTTGGCCCTGCACATCAACATGGTTAGGAATAAGGATGCACACAAACCCCCCAGTATCTTTACTTAATTCCTCCCCTAGATTTCCTCTCCCAGACATTCCTTAAAATGAATAAAATTAGGATAATTCTCAATTCTGTGAATGCTTCAACACCTACTCTTGGATTTCTGAGTGTAGCTGCTGTTGCCTCAGTTGTCTTAGAACAACAAGTTTCCCACTTGAGCTGCTGGCTCTTCCTTTCCAACAGTCACAGCTGTACCAGAAAGACTGATGTCTCCATTCCACTGCAAACTCAGACAAATAGAACCTTACCTTGATCAAATTAATGGCCAAAACCCCATCTGTGCAGTGAAATTAAGCTGCTTACACTAGTCCTGTTACTAGTTGTATTGGAATTGGGTCAGGGCAGGATGTGTAGCCAAGTGTCCTGCTTGCTTTCAGACTTTTTTGGTGAGCAGGAGTTTCAAGGCAAATTTCCCGCTCCACTGACCAAATAAACTCTACAGAGTTTGTAATAGCAACAGCCTTTTCCAAATATGCCTCATTCCTTCAAACATTAGAAGACCCAGGACCTATCCACAGAGCATCTCTGCACTGTGGCACCACATGGCCAACACACTTAGCTGATGGTTTGTTACTGGTGACAGATGAGGCGAAAAGCAGGTAAATACCAGGAATAATGTTTTAAACCAAATGCTTTGTCTTTTTCCCTTTTTTAACCCTGATCATGCAATCAAGGAAGATTACACTGGGCCTGAATATGGCTTCCCAGATTTGAATGATTGTGGAGTTTAGGATGGACAAACCCTGTAGTGATTTACTCCCAGATTTTCATCAAATTTTGAGTGTGAGTGAGGTGGAAGAAGTTGTTAATGTCCTGGAGGCTCCAGTCTGGTTTCCCCCCTGCCCCTCCATGTTTCCCTCCCATATAAATCTGTTCTGGATTGTACTTTCCATGTGGATCTGTCTTACACAGCTGCCTTCCCAGTGGCAGAGGTATTTTTGGGGAGAGGCATGTTCTTTTTAGGTAGTGTCCTGTTTTAAAAATGTAAACACTTTGGACTTGCTTAGGAATGTCAGGTGGCTTCCTGATTAATCAGCCAACTGCTTAATGTTGTTGCTATTTTAGTGTTTGTAATACTTTGCTGGAGGCTTAAGTAGTAAATCTAAAAAACTGAGTCTCTCATGTGTGCTAAGGCCTGGGAATTAATTCAGTTACAGGCAGGCAAATAAATAGTAAGTTGTGATTTCTTGCTGTATTTCTTCGTGAACTATCTTACAGTATGAAGGCTCTAATTCTTCACTCACTGCTGTAAAATCCTTAAATTTTTTACCCTTAAATCCTCCTTAGGGTCTTGGAGCCCAGGAACAAGGAAATCCAGAACATATCAGGGTTAAGGTGAAAAACAACATGCTGGGATTAGGAGCAACCATCAACCATGAGGTGAGAACTAGACCCAGGTGAGGGATTGGCTCCCATTTCAGCTAAAGCATCATCATCTTCCTGACTGGAGTTCAGGTAGAGAGAGCAGAACATAGTCCTCCAAGTGCTTGTCTCACAATCAACATCTGAAGTATCTTTCCAGCTGTTGCTAGTATCACACTAGTATTTCCTGCCTGCTCTGGAAAACATCTTGTGCAGACAGGGGACACCCACAGCCAGCAGCAGCTCAGGATTGTTTAAGGACTTACAAACCTTTTAATTTCATTTCACTTTGGAGTGACTGTAGGAGCTGTTGTTAGTATTACCACCTGTGGAGCTTCTCTGGGTCCCTCCCACCAACAACAGTTGAATATATACCATTAAATTGCTGCTTAATATCTGTTTTAGCAAAACTTGTGTTAGTTCTGAAGATTTTTGCCATGTATTCATGTGGGTGATGTTTACAGGACAACTGGATTGCTCATCAGGATGACTTCAACCAGCTTCTGGCTGAACTGAATAACTGCCATGGACAGGGTGAAACAGGTAGGTTCATGCTTTGCTCAGTCAGATGTTGGAAGCTTAGCAGAGTTTCCATTCTGTGTCTTAAAAGACTAGCTGAGGCCCAATTTGGTCTGCTAAGTTTCTTTGCTGAGGCTGACAATAACATCTTCTCCCTCAAAAGGAGCTGAAGGTTGTGTTGCCGTCATGGCCATGCTCAGGTTTAGCTGTCTGGATATGTAGATCTCAGTGGATCAGTTTTGCACTCAGGACTCAAATAAAGGCTTTTTGTTGAGGAAAGAAAACATAAAATGTTGAACTTGTTTATTTTATCCAAGATCACAATATTTGGGACCTTTTCCTGGGACGTGCTACAGCAATACTTAGTTCTTTATAAAGCAACCAGAACTGGTCAGAAGGCTCACAATAATCCCTCACACTGCTATGCTTTGCCTCCCTTTTGCTAATGAACTGTCACACTTGGCTTCCATGCTCTAGGGTGTCTTAAATACCTACTTTTCCTATCCTCAGAGAGCTGCTGCTTAGCTTTTGACTCAGAGTTCTGCATCTCTGCTTGGAGTGTGGTATAATGTGATTTTTGTGGCTCTGGTGTTGAGCACACAAGTGGGGAAACTACACAACGTTCCCAAAAGGGCTGTTTATAAGTCTTTTATTTTTAAACAGCTTTGTACAGTTTGACCTTGGCTTGTAAAAATGAAGTTATGAAGTTGTGGTGGGTGTGAGCTTACAGAAGGAATTGGTTTATCAAATGGTTTATCATCTCTCCTTTAGTTAAACTCAGGTTTAAACCTCTGATCATGTACCTAAACAGCTCTCTGGAGTGTGGTTTAACCAAGGGCTCCTGTTTGGACACAGCCATCCATGTGCTGCTGGGGACAGAATTGCAGCTGAGTGAATTTAGCAACTCTTCATTCATTCATTCTTAGTCTTTGAGCACAAAAGGTTTTGTAGGAGAGGAAAGGTAGGAAGAAGAGGAGGAAAATCAAGGGTTTCCAATCCTAGAGAACTAGGATTAAAATTTTTAACCTGATGCCTTAAAATCACCTTTTAAAAATTGCTGTGTAGGTTATCCTTTTGCATTGGTGCTCTAACCATGATCTGAGGCCACACTAAGCACTGTTGTTCAAGTCCTCAAGGGACAGAAGAGTATAACATAGGGAAATTCCAAAAGTTCCTTTCTACCTTTATAACTAAATCCTCCCCGAGTTCTAACTTGAGCCATGGGAAGATCAGTTAGGTGTAACTGGTGGGAAACCTGCATTTCAGCAGAGAGCTGAAATGACTTGTCCAGGGACACAGTGAGTCAGCACAGAGGAAGGTTCATTGAGCAAGGCTGTCTTGTTCCTAAATCAGCAGCATTCCTTGGGTCATCTACTGATGCAAAGTGGCCCCTGAAAATAATTTCTCCCTGTTTTACTCAGTTATTTTGACTCTTTTAGAAGTGGGACAAGTTTTCAATCAGTGAGGACAAATTTGGGTGCACATTGAGAATTGCTGGTGATTTGCAGGCTGCAGGCATCGCTCCTAAACTTGCTTTTTTGGCAATTGTTTAAGCTGGCAAAACTCATCCAGATACCTCTGCCTGCAGCTGTGCTGCAGGATCAAGTGTTACGCTCTTGGCCATCAGCCAGTTTCAAACTGTATTAAAAGTCAGCTGAAAAACTTCATTGTTCTTAAAGAACTGGTGCAGTTGCCAGAGGTGGATTGCAATTAGAGGTCGGAAAGGAAGGGCTCCTTGGGGCTTAATATGCCAACATGAAAATACTCTTAGTGTGCCGAGTTTTAGATTTCTTTTCCTTTTCTTTCTAGCTGAGCACCCAGTGAGGGCAGGTTTAGATTAGATTAGATGTTATGAAGAAATTTCTCCCCATGAGGGTGGTGAGGCACTGGCACAGGTTGCCCAGAGAAGCTGTGGCTACCCAATCCTGGAAGTATTCAAGGCCAGGTTGGATGGGGCTTGGACCAACCTGGGCTAGTGGAAGGTGTCCCTGCCCATGGCAGGGGGGTGCAATGAGATGATCTTTAAGGTCCCTTCCAACCCAAACCATTCTATACTTCCCTGCTCTTTTGCGGGGATACTCAGTGATGATGTCTGTGTCCCCTTCCCACTCATAAGGCACAGAAACACCATCCTGACTATGTCCAACATGCTTTGGAATATCCATCTAGATCAAATTTGCTATGGAAATGAAACGTGGCTCGATTGTTCTGACTAAATTGCTTTAAAAAGCACATTAATATCCTTGCAGTACTTGCTCAGAGGATTTTCAAGTCACTGGAAGACACAGGGATGTACTTTCCTGCCCATTTCAAGTACCAGCACGTTTCGGGAGTGAAATTCCTCCCTGGTGGCACGAGGCGGTGCTGCTGCCCCTTTCCCTCTAGGAGTAATGTGGAGGAGGAAGCACTGTGGAAATCCTTTGCTGTGTAATGTTCCTTTGGTATAAGGAGATTGGAGAACAGACTCCAGTGCTGCATCTCTGTACTGGATATTTTATCTGGAATCCTTAGTTTCCTTGCAGACCCTTTTTATTGAGGATCTTCTGTCTAAAATAGGTTTGCTGCTCCTTCCTTTTCCCACGAGGGTTTAGGGTGTAAGTGGAAGAGTAGATCTCAGCTTTCTGGCACTCAGCTCTGCCACTGCAGGCTGAGGATTCCAGTGTTAGGTCACTGATCAGTAATTCTATCATCAAGTGGCACTACCTATCAAACAGGGAAGTGCTGGAATTCCAGTGTCAGAAAAGCTTGGGCTGCAGAGCTTTCCAGGGTGGGATCATATAAAAAAGGTGACTCAACTTGGCCCTTAGGGTATGGGTTGATTTCCTTACCCATCCCTGTTGCCACTGGGAGTGAAAAACATCTCACCAAAGTAACCTTTTCTGGAGTTACAGAGCAGAGAATCCTGAAATGCCTATTTTCAGAACAGACTAGTGAAGCAGTTATTAACTGTACAGCAGGTTAATTCTCTCATTTGGGAATTCCTTGTAAATTAACAAGTTCTGTGGGTTCAAAGAGAACATCTGTACCCCCAAAATATCCTGCCACAGCACAGGAATGTGGTATCTCTACTGTTAAACAGTGAGACCAATCCTTCACGTGGCTTTAACCTGCTAGCATTCTCCCAAACTACTCCTGAGTGAATCTGGGACTTAGCAAACCCCAGAGACCATTCCCAGTCGTTAGTTTAGATGAAGTCCTTCTGGAGGCTAGAAAAATGAAATAACATGGATGTGGCAATTTGTTCTAGCTGGCCTCAGGGGCGGAACAGCTCTGCCACCGTTCAGCTTCCTTACACAGATGTATCAGATCGTGTTCAAATAATTTGTGTAGGGTTAGAAGTAGAAATTCTGTGGGGTTTTTTTTCCCCTTTTTCTTTCTACCTAGGCAGGTTCTGTATTTTATTTTGTACTATTTCTTACATCTTCTGGCACTGGAGATGTTTTGTAACAAACAGCACAATAAACCCTGTCTTACTATTCTCTTCTTACCATAGAGATGGATTTGCCTTTGACCTGGAGTACGTGTGTCTGCCTTTTCAAATTACATGGGATTGGAAATGGGGAAGGGAAGGAGACGGGGCAAAAAATTCAAGCAGTAACATGTCTCAAACCAAACTTACCATGTTTCCTTCACTAGTATATTGTGATATATTGTTGAGACTGAGTTTTGAGAGAGAAAGGTACACTGATGCTTGAATTTGGTAGTTCAAGAGCATCATAACAGGGCTGAACCTGTTTGCTTGGGGTTTTTTTTAGATTCATCAGTGCAAAATCAGAAAAAGGCATTCAGTCTTGAAGAAAAATCCAAGTCTTCCAAGAAACGTGTCCATTACATGAAGTTTGCAAAAGGTAAGAGAAGTTTTGGTGTTTTATAAGCTCCAGCCAGGATTAGAACAAACCCTGTGTATTAAGGTGTTCTGTTGCCTTCTGAGGTCTAAATTTGGCAAGGAAGATCTTGGTTTAGAAATACCTCCTGCAGTAACTTACTTAAAGCTATAATGCACTGCTCTTCTTTATTTTGGACAATTTGGGGTGGCTTGAGGTTAATATTGTGGAATAAACCAATTTCTATCTGAAGGAGCCAGAGCTGAATAAAGGAAGAGTGAATATTCTGGGTGATGGGCACATGGGCAGGGGGTGAGAGGGGGAGGCAAAGGTGATAACAGAGTGACTTAGGCATCCGCGTGGCACTATCCTCTGCAATCTCCAATAACCCCTGCTAAGAGATCATGTGGATGAGATCAGTGATCAGATTAAACCTGAGTGAAGGAAGAGGAAAGCCCTCTTACATCGACCAGGTACTTTGTTGGATAAATTAGGGCAGTGGTTAGTGACCAGAAAAACCATATCAAGAACATGTGGAGTTCAGTAATTTCTTCCTTTTTAGAGTGATGAAATTATTACAGTCATCCCTGGTTTTGGCTCTGACAATTCTGAAGTGCTTTCTCTGTTTCTGTTCCCCATTCACACACCCACGTGCACGTGGTGTGTGCATATACCTGTTTCAGGGTATGGATAGGATCAGTTTCCACTAATGGCTGATTTATTAAACTGAAAGCTCTGGGTAATGTTTTCTGACAGCAAATGCCTCTGCTAAAACAGCTAATTGATGTCTGAATGTAGGCTAAATTTTGATATTGGGGTGTGGGATTTTTGATTAAATAACTCAGCCTTGGAGTCAAACCTGTTAACTTGACTCTGTCACTTCATTAAACAATTAAATTGGTTCAGGGCTTGCAAGTGCAGAGGCCACGGCCTGTTCAAGGCAGTGGCAAAGAGGATTTGTTTTGATTTGGATTTAACCTTTTACTAAATACAGATGGGGGAAAAGTGTCTTTTAACATGTAAAACGCAGAGCAAGGCTTTCATATCCACAATATCCCTTATTTGTTTGTGTATGTTTCCGTAAGGCAATCCCCTCTGTTTGCTTGGACCCTCTGTGGTCTAAACCAGGGGAATTGTCCTTTTTCAGGGAAAGCGGAAACGATATTTGAGAAAGGCTCATGTTGTTGTGGCCCTTGTTCAAGTCCAGTCCTGCTTCCTTTCAGACTAAACAAGACAAGCTCACACAAAAGCTGAAGGGAGCAGCGACGACACAAACTGCAGCTTCCGTTTCTGGGGCTGGTTTGGAGCCTCCCTGCTGGAGGAACACAGGCCCCACACAGACTCAGCAGCCACCCTTGGATCTGGGAAACACACCAGTATGAGATTAAAACAGTGATTTCAGTTGCTTTTCTGGTAGCTGTTCCACTGTGATTCGACACAGGAATGTGCTGCCCAGGGAGGAGGTGGAGTCACCGTCTCTGGAGGGGTTTAAGTAGAGACTGGATATGGCAATTAGTGCCATGTTCTAGTTGATATGGTGGTGTTAGGTCATAGGTTGGAATTGATGATCTCAAAAGTCTTTTTCAGCCTGATTGAGTCTGTGATTCTGTGATGCTGCAAGAGATTTGGTTGGTCAGCTGAGTTGGTTTTCTATTAGAGAAAGAGAGGGAGATGTACTGAGAGGGGAAAGCATGAACAGAAAGTGTAGGAAAGGAAGAGGAGCAGGAGGATTGTAAGTGTCCTGTTCCAAGCCTTGGCCAAAATAAAGCTGAAAACAGCCTCCAGTCTTATCCAGCTTGCTTGGGTGTGGACATTTAGAGGCCATGCAGGAAGCTAGGTAACCTCTAGGTTGTTGTGTTTGCTTAGCCTCTGTGGGCAGTTCAGGAACCTGAGAAAAAAACCCAGGTTGCATAGTCAGATTTGAGGGTTTTTTTTGCCGTTTGTCCATTATAAGATTTTGAGGTTAGTGATTTCAGAATCAGAAAATCAAGTGGATTAAGACCCCAGCAGACTCATAATAAGTTCACCTTTCTGGACTTTTCTGTAACTTTTGCTTACTTTTTTTCTGAAGAATTTTCTGAGAGAAGCAATGGACAACCCTCTGTAAGGGCTTCTGCACTGTGGAATTGGCTAAAACTTTGTATTTCTGAATATCACATCGCCCCCTTCTGCTTCCCCCTCCGTACTCCATGTCTGATATCCAGCTAGCCACACACCAATCAGATGGGAATAATGGTCCTACTGGACATCTTTGCTTCACCCTTGAAATTATTATGAGTTGCAATAATCCAGTATGTTGCAGAGATGGAGGTTTTGCTTTTCAGAAACAACATCATAAACTGAAGAAAAATCTCCCCTGAGTAAAGACAGGCATTTTTTTCATTGTATGGAGCAGTTGTAACACCCTAGTTCTGTCAGAGATAGGGAATCCTCAGGAGAATCCAAAGATCCCTACACATACACGTATTTCCTCATGTGTATCTCCATTTAGTGTATTTAAGATCATCATAGAATCTTAGAATGGTTTGGGTTTGAAGAGGCCTTAAAGATCATCTTGTTCCACCTCCCTGCCACCTTCCAGTAAACCAGGTTGCTCAGAGCCCCATCTATTGTGGTGTTCCTGATTTTTCTTCACCTCCTGATATTTGTTCACCTCCAAAACCAATTTGTCTACCTCTGTATGTCACAGTTTGTGTTACCAAATTGCATCTGTCATCACCAGATGTGAATGTTGTTGGGTTTTTTCCCTCTCCCCACCCCTTCCAGGTAAGGATCTCTCGTCACGCAGTGAACATGATCTCTCCTGCATATTTGGGAAGCGACAGAAGAGTGTGAAGACACAGGTAAACAAAAGGTTTCACCTTTCTCTTGTTTCCTTGCTTATTATTACTTATAACAAACCATTTTTAAATGTCTTTCTGTTGATGAGTTTACCACATGCACATCAAAAAGCATAAGGTCTTCTGCTTGTGAAATTACTGTTTCTATGTGAAGGGCTGTACTTGAATCCTGAGGAAAAAAGAGTGAGTTTTTTCCATATTTTTGTGAATTGTTCTGATGTAACTTCTTTGGAATTAGGAAATTTCAGTCTTTTAATTTTACACTAATTAGGAAATGTACATCACAAAGGAGGATTTTGCTTGATCTGAAAGGTCAGAGATTGGACTTGATGATCTTAGAAGCCTTTTCCAAACTAAATGCTTCTGTGAAAGATCCATAAATATCTCAAATGAAATTTGACATCCAGTAGCAGCTGGGCAATCTCAACAAACTGTCCTTATTGTCGCAAAAATTGGGAAAGGCTGAGGCTGCTGCAAGGATTCAGAGATGGCTTGAGTGCAGATAAATATTTAATGAGAAGACCTTTCCCCTGACTATGTGTAGTGAGATCAAGGTTTGTACTAGCTTTCATTTTATTTATGTATTCATCAGTATTTCGCACCTGCAGAGAACAGACCTGCTGTATCAGTGTATGAAGTAACAGACTTACACTGTGATATACCTAACATCCAGCAAAATTCTCTGGGAAAATAACAACTGGAAAAGCACAAATAAATATGGTGCAAGAATTGCCCTGTTGGTTCTGAGTTCTCAGAAGTCTCCTGTTTAGAGGGAAAGATGGAGCCTGGAATTGAGTGGAAATTTCTGGAATAGAGGGAAAAATGGAGGTTGAAATTAAATGGAAACTTCTGGAATGCCCTGTAGGTGTTTGACACATTGCTTCACGTGTAGTAGTCTTGGAAATTGTTCTGTGACTTCACTGCAGGACACTGTGAGCTTTAGGAGAGGAATAAGGGGAGAATGCGCTAAGAGATCTGGGATAGTAGTGGAGGTAATACCTACGTAAATGCTGGTAGAATGACAAGGGAACTTGTGAAGAAGAAATAGTGATCCACTGGAGATTTTTCCCTGGAAAAACCTCTGTAAAATAAACACTTCAGTGGTGAATCTTCACTTGAACAGTTTGAAGGATTTGGCCTTGCCATTATCCCATATTGTGATATAATTCCAGTGAATCTGCTGTAGATTTAAAAGTGATTAGTAAGAGAAAAATGCCAAGCGTGTTTTCTGAGTTCTCTATAAACTGCAGAAAAAAAACTGACAGCTAATTAAACCAGGAGACTAGAAGAAACTTAAATTGAGAATTGCCCTGTCTTGTCTGCCACTGTGAAATACAGTGTGAACCTTTGTTAATTGTCATGTGGTTTGGCTTGAAAGATAAGAGCTTGGGAGTAGCCATCAGCCACCACAGAACCAATTTTAGCTTATTTCTGTCTTGAAATAAGCATCTGGAGGACTTTGAGTCTGTGAGAGCTGTTGGAGGTCTCAAACGCTGTGGGTAAGCTGGAGCCATCAGAGATCCATGCCATGGATCTGCTTCTTGGCTCTCTTGCTGTCAGGTCAAGACAAGATCAGCTGGGACTTAAAGCAAATCAACAGTGCTGTGGTTAAGGGAATAGGATTTACCCACCCATGAGTTGTCCCAAATAGTTGGTCTTGTTTTCTCTGTATGTTCCACATCTTTTGAAACTCAGGTTTTATTGCATCTTCTGGGACTTTATCCTGCAGAACATTTGTTCTTTCATGGATTGACACTGCAGATCATGTGGATTTAGTGCTGCTTATGAAGGGGATATAAGTTTTTGCATGTTTTTATTAATCCTTTAACCAATGCAGTGGTTGGCTGATGACTACTCTGCACATTTCCTTTCTGCCCTAGCTGAAGTGGTTCGTGGTTCTGGTAAAAAGTCACAGACTGTTCCCCATTAAGGACCCAGATTTCCACATGCAAATGCAGGCAGGAGGTAATGTAATTTGGAGCTACATTGTTGTCTTCTGGCTACTGTCTGCTGCTAAGCAGCCACAGGGAGAGAAAGCCAGAGGCAACACAATTGCTTCCCTCAACCCCCCTTCTCCTTTTCTTCATGGATCAGAGATCTGTGGAGTTTGTACAGAGCAAAAATGCATTGCTCAGGCCCTCCAGCTCTGAGCAATTTCATTTCATTGCACCCATGAACTCTCATGATCCCTTTCCATCATATTCCAGAGCTTGGTCCTTAAGGTGGCACAAATGGAACTGCCCAGTGAGGATTTGCAGTAGTTCTCTATGTGTGTTTGCATTCTGGTTTGAAACCCTGAAGCTCTGGGCTAATATGGCAGAGAGCTCACTACAGGAGCAGCAAAGTGCTGTCATTCTTCTGGAAGTGAGTTGTTCATATCTGTTCCTGAGTGGAGATAATGTAGGAAGAGGTCTGGTGTCCATCAGAGCTCTGGATTTACTTCCAGGTAGGCTGCAGTTCCTCTTAATTGCAGCTCCTACAGCCCTTAGTAACAGCTGTGTGCTGCTGGCCCTGTTCACAGTGGATGAGGACTTCCATACTTCCACAGAAGCCAGAACTGCTGCTGTCAATTAATCTAATTGCAAGTTCCCAGCTGTGGTTGCAACTGAGATGATGCATTAATTGTATCATCTATATTGGCTTGTACCTGTATTGATCCTGGACAAGCTCCAGAAATGGGTCCATGGGAGTCTCATGTGGTTTAACTAGACCACAAGTGCTGCTGCTGCACCTGGGTCAGGGCAATCCCTGGCTGGGGATGAACAGATGGAGAGCAGCTCTGGGGAGAAGGACTTGCAGGTGCTGGTGGGTGAGACGCTGGACATGCCCCGGCCATGTGCACTCAGAGCCCAGAAAGCAACTGTGTGCTGGGCTCATCCCCATCACCCCTGGGCAGCAGGTGTGAGGGGGGATTGTGCCCCTCTGCTGCACTCAGGTGAGACCCACCTGCAGTGCTGCCTCCAGCTCTAGGGTCCCCAGCACAGGAAGGACATGGACCTATTGGAGCGAGTATGGAGGAGGTGCCAGGATAATTAGAGGGATGGAGCAGCTCTGCTATGGGAGAAGGCTGAGAGAATCATGATTGTTCAGCCTGGAGAAGAGAAGGCTTCAGGGTGACCTAGTTGCCCTTTCCAGTACCTGGAGGAGTCTACAAGAAAGTTGGAGAGAGACTATACCCAAGGGCCTGGAGTGGCTGGACAAGGGGGAATGTCTTCAAATTGCCAGAGGACAGGGGTAGATTAGGAAAAAATCTTTACTGTGAGGCACTGGCACACTTTGCCCAGAGAAACTGTGGCTGCCCCATGCCTGGAAGCGTTCAAAGCCAGGTTGGAAGGGGCTTGGAGCAACCTGGTCTAGTGGAAGATGTCCATGCCCATGGCAGGGAGTGGAACTAGATGATCTTTAAGGTCCCTTCCCATCCAAACTATTCTGTGATTCTTTAGCTTGAAGTCCTATCTATAAGGCTCTTCCCAAGGTATCCAATCCCTCCTCTTTTGCAGAGGTGCAGTTTGGGAAGCATTCAACACAGATTTGATTTGGACTGAATAACCTATCAGCTCACAATATAATTGTCATTCCACTCTTGATTTTTTGACAAAGATACTCAGCATAATTCTTTCCCCCATATTTCTCATTGTCTCAGTCCAGAATCAGAACACTCTTGGGTATAACTACATGGAAAGATGCAGGAACTGCTTTTTGTAGAAGTGCAGAATTGCTGAGATTGGAGGAGACCTGGAAGTCTCTGGATCCATCACCCTGCTCAAAGCAGGGTGAGCTACAGCAAGTTGCTTAGGGGTTTGTCCAGCTGAGTTTTGGCTATCATCTTTCCTTAAAGCCTCCAATTTAAGTGATAAAATTCAGTGGATGAATGAAAGAGAACTTTTAAGGAGCAGAAGATCATAGGCTCACAGAATCATTAAAGTTAGAAAACACCTCTAAGATCAAGTTGAACCATCAAGCCAGCACCAGCACCAGCACCACCATGTTCACCAGGTCCTCAGGTGCCATATCCACATGTTTTTTGAACACTTCAGGGGTGGTGACTCCACCACTTCACTGTGCAACCTGTGCCAGTGCTTATCAGCCCTTCCTGTGAATAAATTGTTCCTAATATCCAGTTTAAACTTCTGCAGTGACATCCTAAATCTGGCTGGTGGGCTGGTATCATACCAGACTTAAAGACTAGGAAAAGGGAGAAAAAAAACCCAAAACCCAGGGAATTCCATTTGTGCTTATGGTCAAAGGGAAATGAGCAGAAAGGCTCAAGGCTCAGTGACATGGTGTGTGGACCATCAAGATACTCCTGGTCCTTCTGAAGTGCTTCTCAAAAATATGTCACTTCTGAACTGCTGCTGTAACAAATGGTGTCTCACCAAATGAGATGTGTCACAGAGCCAGTGTTCCAGTTAGTCCTGTCCAGACTTTTCTTGTGTGGTCATTAGCAGTCTTTTTATGATCTTGACCTGTGGACTAGCCTTTGGCAGGAGAGGTTTTATATGAGCTTAATCTGAGGTGCCTTAAGTGTAGAGCTGATCTCAGACTCACTTTTGAGCTGTTTCAGTGGCCAAGGACTGATCTGGGTAATGGATCTTTTCTCGTTTCACACTGGCACTGCTGCAGTAAGTGGGGAATGTTGAAACTTGGATTATCTACCTTATCAAAGGAAGAGGGAGTTGGCTAGAGGATTGTAAAGATTGCAAAAGAGTGGAATTGCAAAGGATATGGAAGGAAATGCTGTTTGCCCCTAAGGGTCAAAAGGAGTTTCTCTAGAAGTAATAAACCCAAGATACAAGTTGAAGCTGTTGTTTTGATGGTTCTGGGCTATGTGTTACTAATCAGAGACACTTGCAACCTTTAATTCTCCTGAATGTTAAACATAACACTCCTTTTTTTAAAAATTATTTTTGATAAATCATGTGCACAACCCAAACCTCCTTAATAAACTACTTAGGGACCTTTGTTTAAAAAAAAGCAAGTCAAAAAACTGAGGGGGAATGAAA